CTTATAATCCTTTTGTAGGTTCCAGTAGGCTTGTAGACACCGCTGTTTGCAGCTCTCTCTCATCAACTTCCCTGTGAAAACCACAAAGCAAGCAGGCTGAGAAACCGAACTAAGTGATACAGCACCTACACAGCACAATACATTTCACTACCAGTATGGTTGTGGAGATGGATTTTATCCCAGTAGATTTTATTATGATTAAATTTGTTTATACTCAGAAAAGTGATCTTACCTATGTATGTTCATCAGTGTGAACTGTGGGCCTGCATCTGGCTGGTGAGAAGTTGAATGTCAGGTTCCATTCTAGTCACAGCCAGTCTCAAACACTGATGCAGATGTTCATCTGTCAATCTTGATCTCATCTGAGTTTTCAGGTGTTTCATGTGTGAAAAGGTTTGCTCGCAGATATACGTGCTGCCAAAAAGTGTAAACATCTTCATTGCGTGTTTTTTTATGTTAGGGTACGTGTCGTTTGGGAGGGCGGCATAGAAGTCAATGAGACTGTTGGGCTTGAATGCGTCTTTCAGAACATCACAGTTCTGTAACTCGGCCAACTCAAACTGATAAGAAGGCTGGGCTTCATCGATGTCGGCAAGAAAGGGGTTCTGAAAAAGATGGATTTCTTTTGCATTAACACGTAGTTGCCGGAATCGCACACCGAACTCCGCCTTCAGCATTTCCAGTGCTTCCACACACTTTTCAGTTGGGAACGGGACCGCTGGGTTCTCTGCAGAGAGGTTTTGGGTAGCAGGGAGATGGATGAAGTTGTGCTTTTTCACTTGTTCCAAAAGCAGCGCAAGTTTCACCTCAAATGCTTTTATGTGAGAATACATGTCGCAAATGAGTTTCCCCTGGCCTTGTAGCTGCAAGTTAAGGCTGTTCAGCATTTCTGTCACGTCTGTTAAAAATGTGAGGTGCCATTTCCATTCTGGGTCGATCAGCTCTGGGACCGTTTTGTCTTTTGAATGAAGAAATGCGTTAATTTCGGGTAGCAGCTCGTAAAAACGCCTCAAAACTCTTCCCCGGCTCAACCATCGGACCTCTGTGTAGTACAGCACATCGCCGTGCGCAGACTCCAGTTCAGACAGGAATTGTTGGAACTGCCTGTGTTTAAGTCCCTTTGCTCTGATGAAGTTTATGCATTCAACACTTTGCAGCACAGTGCTTGCTGGTGAATTAGGCAGTGGATTTGTAGCGGGGTGGTGAGACCCCGTTCTTCCATCTCCCGGTTCATGCGTCCTATTAGACCCCGAGACGCGCCCACCATACTAGGAGCCCCGTCAGTCGTGATGCTGGCAAGCTTTGACCAGTCTAGGTCCAACTCTTCCATGGTTTGGCATACTTTGCCGAAAATATCCTCCCCCGTTGTAGTCCCTTTGAGACTTTGGAGGGCTGCCAGCTCCTCGCACATCTCAAAGTTTGCGCTAACTCCGCGAATAAAAATGAGCAGCTGCGCTGTGTCTTGCACGTCCGTGCTCTCATCCAGTGCTAATGAAAAAAAGTCAAATTCTTTTGTCTTCTGCTGCAGCTGGGCATATACATTACCCCCGATTTCTTCAATAAGTCTGGTGATTGTACTCGCCGACAGACTCACGGCATTAAAGACATCTTTCTTCTCGGGACACACCTCTTCCGCGACAGCATTCAAACATTTCTTGACAAACTCTCCATCAGTGAAAGGTTTACCGCTGCTTGCTATCAGTTGAGCAAACCGAAAGCTGGCCCGAACGGATGACTGGTTCAGCTGAGCTTGGCGTACAAATGTATTCTGCTGAGCTAACAGTCCACTTTTTAGCTTTGAGAGTTTGTCTGCTCGCATTTGGCCTTGCAAGTTATCATACTTGTCTTTGTGAATCAATTTTTCACTTACCTAACCTTTTCGCCATTATTCCGTTCTATTTGACAGGGGCTAGTCTGGGATTCGCGTGGCCAGACTGAAAAAAAAATCATAATGCGTCTCTGGTATTGTTCAGGGGGCCGGGCCAAATGTGGAGGCGGGCCGTATTCGGCCCGCGGGCCTTAGTTTGGGGACCACTGACTTAGACTTAAGTGAACTATCTGAACACTGAGAGTCCTTTACCTCACTGAGCTGCTGTAGTTATCAGCCTCAATCCAACAACAATCCGCGGTACCGATGCATGCTCGCCCTCTCTCTCTCTCTCTCTCTCTCTATCTCTCTCTCTCTCTCTCTCTTGCTCGCTCGGAGGCTCTCTCTCACTTTGGCTGTGAGCTGCGGGCGCCTGATAAGTCAACATCCCCCACTTTCATCACTTACAGCGCCCATCGTACAGGGCAAATGTAAAATGTTGCTGGCCCGGGGTGCAAATGGTGTTTACTTTATTCAATTATTAATGTAAATGTATTACATCAAGGGCAGAAAATTAATTAAATTATTTTTTTATTATTATTTTCTTTCTCCCAGCGCAGCGCCCCTCCAGATCTGGCGTCCTAGGCGACCGGCTAGTTCGCCAGTGCCTAGGGCCGGCCCTGGCTGCAGCAGCAATAACCATAAAATAATAACTCAAATGCCACAAACATGATATTGACCAGTATACAGATTATGCACATGATTTAGCAGATTTAGCGTTTTTAGAGAGAAAAAATTCCGAGATACGTTTTTGCGCCATGTCAGTTACTTGACATGTTAAAAGTAGCCAACTAAAAACTAACAAAAAACTTTTTTTCCACATCTTTTTTCTTTTTCTTCCCTGAAGCAAAATGATTTATTATATAGTTTTAAATTATCATTTGAATAATAACATATAATATAAAATATAATCTCAGGCACAATGAAATGAAATAAATATATATAAAATAAATATAAAATACATTTGCAGACAGGGGAGCTCCGCACCGCCTGCCTGCCGCTAGGGGGTGCTGCATCGCCCTCAGCACCCCCCTTCCCGCGCCCCTGGCCCCGACAGTAAGAAAGTGTTAAAAAAAAATATTAGATATATCTAGAATTGTAGAGACTTCATGTTTTATACAGAAACATTATGAGCTAAAAATACCAAACACTAACCAAATACCCCCCATCTATTTTGGTTTAAAACAGCTTAGATACAATAAACACAGACACAATACTAGGGAAGATAATGGTACAAAATAAATGCATTTCAGTTTAAAGTACACTTGTTGGGAAGTCCCCAGCCATTAAGTGTATTTAAACATTAACATAGCTAATAGTGACTTTTTATAGTGTTATCAGCCTTTTTAAATACATTTTATAGCGTTATCAATCTCATTCTATACTAGTGGACCTCTGCAAACACACTTACTGTAAGCTGTTACATTTGACTTTGCTTTCCTGTTTTATTATGAAAACTTTACTGTACCATGAGAGCTTTTTATTGTACACCTTAGCACCGATTACCATACTTGGTTTAAACGGAGTCAGACGTTAGGTCTTAATGGGCTGAACGAATATTTACATTTCAATAGATATGTCTAATTAAAAGAATGGATATGGGTGACTTATTGGATGGATGGATCAGAGGGAAAAAAAGACCAGGAAAAAAAGACACCATCATTCAAACCTCTCATTATATCATCATTAATCCCCTGCATACAGAGTTTGTGCTGTCTGCTAAGGTCATTTACACCAAAGCTGCTCCCTCTTAGTCAGCAGACACTAATTGATGGGCAAAGGGCATCCAATGTGACTGAATGCTCTGTACTTTTAAAGAGCTAAATGTCATCAAAAGTTTGTGAAATGTCTATGAAATTTAAAAAACGCCCCCTCATCATAATTAGGATGACCTATTTTTGCATCTCAACCCTGTTCCAATTTTTTGTTGACTTGTCCAATATGCAAATTAAATGTTCAGTAACCCCCACTGTGGGCAACTGCAGGTTATAAGCAGGAATAATGACCTGCAGGATATATTTAGGTCATCCTTAAGGCCCCGAAATAGCACAGCTTCAATATAGAACCGTATTATTTTCACTTTATGACTAACATTGATGCAAGGATAAATGAGAATGGCTTAGTTTAACTTATGAAATATTTGTTAAAGGAATAGTTAAACATTTTTGGAAACACGCTTTTCCCCTTCTTTGATGAGAAGATCGATTTTACTCTCATGTCCATCAATACAAAACTGGAGCCATTAGCCAGTTAGCTTTAGGTACCATAAGGACCGGAAACAGCTAGCCTAGCGCTGCCCAAAAGATAACAAAATCCCCACTACCAGCATGTCTAAGGTTCACCAATTAAAATATATCTTTAAAATGACAGCTTACAGGGGGTCATGTACCACATTAACAATCAGCTTCATCATGTCTTTGAGTCTTTATTCTAAGCAAAGCCAACCAGATGGTGTCTGTAGACTACAAATAAGCATTATAGATTCTGAAATGTCAATTAGATTAAAATGTACCAACAACATTCTTTCATATAGTGCTATTAATCAATCTGGATCGTTTAAATGTGAGTTTTGGAAGGTGTGTTGGAGATTTCTGCCTTTTAAAACGCTCAAAATGCTGATAAAAATACATTTCAAAACTCAAAGCAATGCCTCTTTTCACATGACCCGATTACTCGAGATAACCCACAGACATTATTTGTTTCATGTAGGAGCTATTTCTTTTAACCAAATGTTCTTCAGTTAAGATGTATTTTGACATTTTTGGGTGAACTATCCCTTAAAAATAACCTGGATATAATGTTTGTTTTACTATGTAGAATAGATCATATCTGGCTTTCTTTAATAACGTAAAATTAAATGCTTCATATGCGTCCAAACGGGATTACATATGCAAATGTACCACATTTAACATACTAAATACATGAAGTTGGTAATAAATGTCTTGGAAATAAATGTACCCATATACAAGAAGTCACAGGAAATCATTGACTGTGTGTAATTTGGGTGTGTGTCACCTCAAAAGCAATAAGAAAAACAATCGCCTTTTAGAGATACATACTGTAAGACACGGATGGCTGTATATATGTTGTGTTTTTTTAACGACAACGTTTTGTTTTACTGTTTTTGTTTTAGTTGTCCGTAGTGGGTATGAATCAGCCACTTTTCCAGCCCCATCCATCTGAACTGGTCTTCCAGAACTTCACTCCTGGACAAACCTACACACTACCTCTACGTCTCTACAACAAAGACAATGTGGGTGAATGGGTGATTATTACGTAAATAGTTACACTCACAACAGGGCTACTGAGCTGATATTTCAGTGAAATGGAACAACAGAAACAGACAGCATGGACCATAGCAGGAGAAAAAGGCTACAGTATCTGCGCTTGTGTGTGTTTGTATGTGGGTTTGTGTGTTACCAAATGATTGGAAAAGGTCACAGGGGATTGCAAAAGATTTATCGCTGCAATTTGTACAAGACACCATCCAGTAATGAATAAATCATCACTTGTGTATCTGTGTGTGTGTGTGTGTGTGTGTGTGTGTGTGTGTGTGTGTGTGTGTGTGTGTGTGTGTGTGTGTGTGTGTGTGTGTGTGTGTGTGTGTGTGTGTGTGTGTGTGTGTGTGTGTGTGTACCTGGATCTGTGTTTGTTGCAGTGTGGCGTTCGCAGTTTTTTGAAACTTTTTTGTCATGTTTCTTTTCTGTCAAGGTTTCACGTAAAGTGAAGCTGGAGCGTCAGGACTCAGACTTTTTCCATGTGGCCGGACCAGAGGATGCTGGCAGCCGGGTCGCACCAGGACTCGCCGCTTCTTTCACTGTCTCCTTCACCCCGCAGGAGAACAAGGTACTGCAGACAGAGGGGAGTTTGACAATTAAAAAAATAAGTGAGGGGTAATATGCAGCAAGTCATTAAAGAGAAAAGAACCCCAACTTACCCTGAAGGATACTTACTGAATAGATCAACAATTTTACTATCAATATTGACTTTAAAGGATTTTATTGTTTTAACAGTGATACTATTTCTTCCGCTAAGACACAATAATCTGTTCTACTGCAAAGCAACTACTGTAACTGCAGCAACATTAACCTAACTTAAATTGCCAGTAGCTCTGATTGAGGTTTTCTGCCCTGTAACTGTCCAAATCAGTTTTTACTGTCTTTTCCAATAACCCGTCTTTAAACATTGCCAGAGTCCATACCGTGTTCCCGTTAGTGTTTACTCGCGTCTGTCTTCTTCTTCTGATTTCTCTTTCTTTCTTGTCTTTTAACGTCTCACCTTGTCTTACACTGTTTTCTTGTTCTTTCTCTATTTCTCCTTTTTTGTTTGTGGGGAAAAAATCAGAATCGAGTATTCAACTAAGCCGTGTTAATAATCATAAACACAGGGCTGGGACAAAATATCATCCCTGGCATTTTGCCCACCAAAAACTTGGCAACTTGAAGGTCACCAGTTCAAGGCTCCTAACACTAGGATGGGTCAAATGCAGAGAAACCATTTTACATAGTACCTGTACTATGTAATGACAATACAAGTGAAAAAAAAAAGGAGGAGAGGGAGAGTCGCTGCCAGCAAGTCCAACAGGCTGACAAATACTGCCTCCCTTGCGTTTTGTCTTATCCATTTTGGCACTTGCGTTGCACTGTTTAATGAAGGCACTGAGCCTGAAGGGGGGGACAGGTTGAAAGATAGGATTGGGCAAGGACCAGGGCAGTCAGACAAAATAAAAAAGTAAACAGTTGTGTTGTCCAAAAAGCACTATGGCCCCCAGGGAAAAAGCTTGGTTTGCCAGATGGTCTGCCCACCCCTGCCTATAGGGAAGAAAATATAGTTGTAAATTGAGAGCTATAGTACTCCAAATTAGCACTCCTACTGAAGGCAAAAGTACATAGATTAATCAGATCATCAAAAATAAATCAAAGTTTGTACAATAAATTGGAAACCCTTACAATACATATTTGTATGCACACTGTGGAAATGGTTGAAATGGTCAAGGGTCAAAGATCAGGCATTAAGTTGCACTAGCACATCCTTTTGTTGACACTTTTGCTGATGCTATCGGAGGAAGTGAAAACTGAGAAACAAAGGTCAACATTGAATAAATCAACATTTATATTGAAGGTTAAATTATTCCTCATGTGTGTCATGGTTGTTTACATTTGTAAGCTTTGCTAGCAGCGTGACTCTTGGGATGGCATAAACGGTCTTTCAGGCAGTAAGTGAACAGACGAAATATACTAGTGTCATGGATCTTCTAAAAAATCTTTGGTATCTTTTGGTAAAAAATGGTATGGACATTTCATGGTCCCCACAGATGAAATGAATCCTAAGAACATCAAGGATCCAATTACTTATCTTGGCTCTACCATGAGATGAACATCATTTAAATCTCTCGCCTTCTCAAAATCTATATCAGAACCTTTGGATAGATTGTTGCAAAATTTGGTTCAGACATTCTTCATCCATGAGGATGCACCATAATAACTTCTGTCCTTTGATTATGCATTTAGGTATCATTTAATTACCATAACATCTGGTCTACATTGACATTTAGTCAAATACTTTGGTTGGATCAAGTACTTGCAAAACTAGAAGTTGGAAGGGCACTCCGAGAGCACAGACCTCAGCCGGCCTTATCTCTCAATGTTACCAAAAGTGGAGAATAATGTGTGTGTTCCGCCTAGGGTGACCAGGTGTCCCGCTTTGCGCAGAACTGTACAGCATTCTTATCATTTGTCCCACACATTTAGCCGATGTCCTCCACTTGATTGACAGTCACCCATTTAAAACTTTGCTTTTATCCAAAGGTGTTTAGAAAACAAAAGAGGGCTATCACGATTAGCTGTGTCAGATGTCAATCATCAACAGAGAAATCTATTTACTTATGGGTGTAGCCGGTGGACGGCGTTTCCCAGACAGTTTTTGTGAGATTAGCCAGAATTATTTTTCAATTGTGCATGGAGGTGAACAGCGACGCTTCCCTAAAACTCACAAAAAACGCCTGACCCATAAAGAAAATATGGATCTATGGATATATTCTTTCTGGAACTAAAAGAGCTATACCAAACAGAAGAGGTAACAGCCGCTGATTTAATAAACGTTTACCACACTGTGCAGCAATCGGTCTCACAGATCAGCAGACTGTAAGCTAGCTCTGGTCAGACTCGGAGATCGCAAAAGAATATGAGAATATTTACAGATATATTTCATTCCTTCACTTGCATAGTTTGTGCGAATAATTAAACCATAGTAAAGCGTTGTAATTAATATTTATAAGCTAATAGTTTCAATATAAATGCTTATTTGTAAGGGTAAGATAGACATTTATATTTAAATCTAAACTAGCTCTTACAGTAGCAACGGAGTCACATGTCCCGCATTGTCCCGCACAGACATACTCTTTGTCCCACATGTGGCTTGTTGGCACCTGGTCACCCTGGTTCCGCCCTGTTATTTGGATCCACTCAAAAATGTAATGGGTTATTCATGGCCACTGCTTTATGAAAATCGGCATATCGTTTAATTGTGCTGAAAGGCAGACATATGAGACAGGAAACCTTTCATCCTTGTCGTAGCCCCAACTGTGCTTTGTGTTTAATGCTAAATAGCATGCTAAACCATTAAACTATGATGGGGAATAAGGTATACCATTATACATTACATAATGACTCTGACCCTTTGCTTTTCTTCCACTTTATGTCCATCTTCAGCTGTGGTGTATGAGCCCCCAGAAAATATAAAAAAAATGCTAAAAACAATGCTTAATCTAATTCATTAAAAAAGGCAGTGGGTGTAAGTGTGTGTTTGTTCTTGTTTCACAAAAAGTAAGGCAATTTGTGTTTGGTAGATGATTTCTATGTTGTAACAATGCTTTTTGGCAATACATCTCATACCGTTGGAAAGCCTGTTTTCTTACCTTTCCAATGGTACCACATTTGTGAGGAACAAGCATTTGTGGGATGAGCGGCAGAGCTGAGTATGTGGGGTGGGCCCATGACAAATGTGGCAAATATCCTCTGCCAATGCCAAACAGCAGCCACTCTCCGGACTCGTACTGCAGCCAGGTGCCTCAACATGTGGAGGAACATTATGTTCAGAGCACTGGAACCTCAACATGTGGAGGAACATTATGTTCAGAGCACTGGAACCTCAACATGTGGAGGAACATTATGTTCAGAGCACTGGAACCTCAACATGTGGAGGAACATTATGTTCAGAGTCCAGCTTCTGCCTACGGCACATGGATCGTAGGGTCACAGTGTGGAGAAGACGCAGAGAATGCTTTGCTGATTGCTGCACCGATAGAGTAGGAGTGGAGAGGATGGCCTGCAGTCCTGACCTCAACCCCATTGAACCACATTTTGGGATCAACTGTCCATGCCAGAGTGATCAACACAACCACGTTGGCTGACTTGGGACAAATGCTGGTTGAAGAATGGGATGCCATCCCACAGCAGAGTGTGAGCAGGCTGTAAGGATGCGTGGAAGGGTAGGACCCAAATGCAGACTATCAGAAAAGGTAAACGGTCTCGAAACAAAAACGAGCTTTATTCTAAAGCTGAACAATAGCATGGCATGAAACACATAGGTTCTATAGAAAACTGACCGTGACCAACATGGTGGGAGACAGGAGAAACAAACATGACTGACATGGAGGAAGACAGGAAAAACCAACAATGAACCGACAAGGCACACAGGGGAAGACAAGACTAAATACAGAGAGGGGTAATCACAAGACAAGACACAGCTGGGGTAAGGGAGGCAGAAACACAAGGGCAACAGGTGAACACAATCAGACAATCAGACACACCAGGGAAACTAACGACAGGAAGGCAAACACAGGAAGAAGGAACAGAGAAGACACAAGGAGGAAAACATTTCAAAACAAAACAGGAAACCAGAGACAGAAAAAGACAAGACAAAACACAACACAGACAGATCGTGACATAACCCCCCCCTCAAGGGACGGATCCCAGACGTCCCAAAAAACATAGTCTAACACTTCCAAAAGGGTGGGTGGTGGGGGTCCGGAGGACGGGCCCGAAAGGGGTCCCGGGCGGACGACCCGGGGGCAAGGCAGAGTCCAAAAAGGGGCGACGGCCACAGCGGGCGAACTCAGGGGGCCGGGCATGAGAGCAAAGGCAGCGGCTCTCAGGGGACCGGGCTCGAGGGCGAAGGCAGCGGCTGGAAGAATCAGGAGGCCGAGCCCGAGGGCGAAGACCGCGGCTGGAGAACTCAGGAGGCCGGGCTCGAGGGCGAAGACTGCGGCACTCAGGGGGCCGGGCTCGAGGGCGAACCAGAAGGCGGCGACGAGACAGCTCCGGAGGACGGGCAGGAAGGCGCCAACGGGACAACTCCGGAGGACGGGCAGGAAGGCGCCGACTGGACAGCTCCGGAGGACGGGCAGGAAGGCGCCGACGGGACAGCTCCGGAGGCCGGGCAGGAAGGCGCCGACGGGACAGCTCCGGAGGCCGGGCAGGAAGGCGCCGACGGGACAGCTCCGGAGGCCGGGCAGGAAGGCGCCGACGGGACAGCTCCGGAGGACGGGCAGGAAGGCGCCGACGGGACAGCTCCGGAGGCCGGGCAGGAAGGCGCCGACGGGACAGCTCCGGAGGACGGGCAGGAAGGCGCCGACGGGACAGCTCCGGAGGACGAGCAGGAACCAGTATCGGCCGGACAGGAACCGGAGCCGACCGGACAGGCGCAGACGGGACCCCAAACAAGACCTGGGCTGGTGTCAATGGGACCCCGGATGTAGCAAGGGCTGGTGTCGACTGGACCCCCAACGGAACAGGACACAGAGTTGGCAGGACCCCCGGCGGGACAGGTGTCGGCGGGACCCCCAACAGAACAGGATCTGGTGTTGGCAGGAAACCTGGCGGAGCAGTTGTCGGCGGGACCCCCAACGGGACAGGACATGGGGTTGGCAGGACCCACAGCGGAACAGGTGTCGGCAGGACCTCCAACGATACTGGACGTGGAGTTGGCAGGACCCTCGGCAGGAGAGTAGTCGGCGGGACCTCCAACAGCACTGGACATAGGGTTGGCAGGACCCCCGGCAGAAGAGTAGTCGGCGGGACCTCCAACGGCACAGGACATAGGGTTGGCAAGACCCCCGGCAGGAGAGTAGTCGGCGGGACCTCCAACAGCACTGGACATAGGGTTGGCAGGACCCCCGGCAGAAGAGTAGTCGGCGGGACCTCCAACGGCACAGGACATAGGGTTGGCAAGACCCCCGGCAGGAGAGTAGTCGGCGGGACCTCCAACAGCACTGGACATAGGGTTGGCAGGACCCCCGGCAGAAGAGTAGTCGGCGGGACCTCCACAGCACTGGACATAGGGTTGGCAGGACCCCCGGCAGAAGAGTAGTCGGCGGGACCTCCAACGGCACAGGACATAGGGTTGGCAAGACCCCCGGCAGGAGAGTAGTCGGCGGTACCTCCAACAGCACTGGACATAGGGTTGGCAGGACCCCCGGCAGAAGAGTAGTCGGCGGGACCTCCAACGGCACAGGACATAGGGTTGGCAGGACCCCCGGCAGAAGAGTAGTCGGCGGGACCCCCAATGGGACAGGACATGGAGTTGGCAAGACCCCCGGCAGGAGAGTAGTCGGCGGGACCTCCAACGGCACAGGACATAGGGTAGGCGTCGGCCGTAGAGCCAACAGGAGACGAGCCAAGGACTGCTGGCTTTCAACTAAGGCTCGCATCGTCTGCTCATGTTGGCCCAGAAGATTTCCCTGATGGGAAATGGCGTGCTGGACCGGAACAGAGGCCGGAACCATGGCTGCTGGGGCCAGAACTGGGGCTGGAACCATGGCTGTATGGGCCGGTTCTGGAGCAGGCACCCTGGCTGCTGGGCACGGAACCGGAACACGGAACCATGGCTGTGTGGGATGGTACTGGAGCACGGTACCATGACTGTGTGGGGCGGTACTGGTGCACGGAACCATGACTGTGTGGGCCGGTACTGGAGCAGGCACCCTGGCTGCTGGGCATGGAACCATGGCTGCTGGGGCCTGCACTGGAGCCCAAAGCATGGCTTCTGGGGCTCGGGCTGCTAGCCTGGACTTGCGACTCCTCTTATGAGCTTCTTGGAGGCTCCGTGGACCTCCAAAAGCCAGACGAGTGCCCGAGAACGGCTCCTGGACAGGAGCAGGAAATGGGGACGGAACCATGGCTGCTGGGGCTGGAACCATGGCTGCTGGGGCCACGGCTTGAATCCTGGCCTTGCGTCTCTTTGAGGTCTTTTGGAGGCTCCGTGGACCTCCAAACGCCAGGCGGGATCCAAAAAAAGGATCAGAGAATGGAGACTGGCACTCAGGGCTACGCGAAAAAACTCTGAGAAATTCAGGCAACGAGCTCCTCAGCCATGGCACATTATCCACCTCCATTTGTGCTCTTTTCAGGACAGCCTCTTTCTCCCTGCTAGTCGAGGTTCCACTCCACACAGTATAAAGACATCGAAGGGAGTAATCCAGAGAAAGCAATTCAGCATCAAAATCAAAAACATAATCCGCTGGGTCCATAACTGGTCGGTTCATTCTGTAAGGATGCGTGGAAGGGTAGGACCCAAATGCAGACTATCAGAAAAGGTAAACGGTCTCGAAACAAAAACGAGCTTTATTCTAAAGCTGAACAATAGCATGGCATGAAACACATAGGTTCTATAGAAAACTGACCGTGACCAACATGGTGGGAGACAGGAGAAACAAACATGACTGACATGGAGGAAGACAGGAAAAACCAACAATGAACCGACAAGGCACACAGGGGAAGACAAGACTAAATACAGAGAGGGGTAATCACAAGACAAGACACAGCTGGGGTAAGGGAGGCAGAAACACAAGGGCAACAGGTGAACACAATCAGACAATCAGACACACCAGGGAAACTAACGACAGGAAGGCAAACACAGGAAGAAGGAACAGAGAAGACACAAGGAGGAAAACATTTCAAAACAAAACAGGAAACCAGAGACAGAAAAAGACAAGACAAAACACAACACAGACAGATCGTGACACAGGCTGGTGACCAGCATGAGGAGGAGAGGCTGTTGTGGCTGTGTTTGATTCTTCCACACGCTATGAGGCTGCCTGTTAAATGAATCAATTGTTAATAAATCAATTGTTGCCAATATGTCTTTATTCATGAGACTTCAATCATCCAACCCACCAAACAACACTAAACTAGAGTCAGCAGCAACACAATGAGATTTGTCATTTTTCATGGGCGCACCCCACATACTTAGCTCTGCTGCTCATCCCACAAATGTTCCTCATAAATGTGGTACCATTGGAAAGGTAAGAAAACAGGCTCTCCAACGGTATTAAAAAAAAGCATTGTTACAACATAGAAATCATCTAACAAACACAAATTGCCTTACTTTTTGTGTTAAGTTTGTATGGATCTCTTGATAGTTGAACACTTTTTCTTCATCTAGGACTACCACCACAGACTGGTTTGTGTGACGGAGAGGGAGCGGTTTGAGGTACCAATACTTGCCATCGGGCCACGTGGCATTCTTGATTTTCGCGATGAGCTCCATTTACCCATCTGTACCGTGAAAGCCTCCACAGAGAGGACTCACCTGGTCCGCAACATAGGAAATGCTGTGGCCAAGTTCAATCTAGACACAAAGAGGTGAGAGTCAGTACAGGATAGGATTAAGTCTACGATAAAAATAAAGCACTTTTTTGACATTAAAACATGTAAACATGTCACAGTAGAGGCACAAAATACAATTATGAAATCTGATAATTAGCATAATAGGCCCCTTTAAGTCTTATCTGTCATGCCTTTACTTCTGTTTGTTTTCCCACTTTTTCAAATAACTTTCTATTCCTTTCCAGCCCTTTCTCTGTGACGCCCCCCTGTGGGACTCTTGATGTAGGCGAGAGCATGCAGGTGACTGTGACCTTTAACCCCATGACCACAGGAGACCACAGCCAGGACCTGCATCTGCACTACCACACAGGTAAGACAAATATTAATAATACAAAACTACAAAACTTTAGGAAAACTAGGGCTACAACTAACTGGAAGACGTTATGACCTCAGCATCTGATAAAGCAGCTAGTGTCCATCGTACAGTACCATCATTTATTTCCCAGAGCTGTTTTCAAATATAAATAGCTCTCCTAATTAGCATATGCAGATTATCTTAATAATAAGAATGACCTTGTTGCAGAGTCATCAGCTGTTTTTCCTTCCACTGAAGCATTTCTCACAAACTAAATTCTGGTATGGAATAAATGCCACCATAGAAGAGAGTTTTCAGATGTTCACTCTTATTTTTCCAAATGTGTTTCTCAATCTCTCCCCTCTTGTGAATTACTGTGTTTATTCAGCTTCGTAAAATCTTGACTATTTTATCAATGAAACGTTTTTCTTTTGTAACACACTGATATTAAACATGAAAAACAAAATTCCAACTATGTAAGAAGCGCAGCCCCAACAAAGTTCACTGGCTCATTATATCTGTTACAGCGGGACCCACACATGCACGCACGTACACACGCATCAAAAACGCACAAAGATTTTTCTGCAAAAATCTTACATTATCAGCAGCGTCAAATGAAGTGGAACTAAAAGGATGAACGTGTCTACTGTAATCACTGAGGTAAACACCATAATGAGATTCTCTTTCTGCAGCAATGGTGACCCTGAAGGAGAACGGGACTGCTAAACAGACACACACACACACACACACACACACACACACACACACACACACACACACACACACACACACACACACACACACACACACACACACACACACACACACACACACACACACACACACACACACACACACACACACACACACACACACACACACACACTCAGAACAACACTTACTGTAGTTATCCTTAGTCTACCTCAGGGTTTGAAGATAATGATTGGCAGACAGACGTTTACTTTGGTCAGACAAGAGGCCACTGTTTCATTCTGTGCTTCACTGTCAATATTATTGAGAGTGTGTATTTCACTGTGTCTTCATCACGTATGCAGCCCTTATCTGGGTTTCCCATAGCAGCCAGGCACAGATAGATTCCCCAAGCTGGTCCAATTAACTGTGCATTGTCTCCTCTCTAATTGTCTTCTATTTGCTGCTTAATTTAAACCCACATGTGTGTTCAACTGCTCATATGAGAAAGTCTGGTTTTGGATTCAAGAAGTATTCTTGAACCTTGGATGTAGCAGATGAGTAGATACTATCAAGGTACTCTTGAGCTTGTGTTGATATGTGTATGTGTCCACTGGGGAAGATGAAGGTGACATAAATAATGGTAATGAGAGAAGAATCTAAACCATCTTTAGGGAATTGGGCTGTAAACATGGTGGCGATGCCTCTCCTCTCTTCTCCTCTGCAGCTCTTATTTCTTCTCAAATTACCTTAAATGGGCTTACTGCTATTTCTGTATCTCTGGTTGTATCTGCACACTAAAGTGTTGGATTTGGAAATTGGCGCAGATGTGATCATATTTTGCAAATCACTTGTCCAAGCTTAATTATTTGCATTCTGAATCACATAAAACAGGTGACTAGCACTGCCTATACATGTACACCAGTGTGACTGACAGTAAACTGCCATGCCAGTTTAGGTATATCTGTTATCATAAAGATTTTGCATTTCCCTGGAAACAAATCACAACCTTTTGTACAAACTGCACTTTATTTAAGTGTATTTTGTTTTTGTTTCTTGCTGTAGGGACTCACCTCAGCTCAGTGGAGTAAACTACTGAATTATTCATCCTCTGTTTTTTTATTCATTATTAATTTTATTAAATGTGACTGCATTACTTAGTAAAGCTTTGTTTATGTAATGTTGCTGTTTAAGCCTTCCAACACCTTTTTTTTTTAGAAATGTGCTAAATTGTGATAATCTTATTAGAAGTTTTTTTGTTGTTGTGATACACACAAGGAATAAAAAATAGGACAACAGAGGACAAATCAAATCAGGCCCCTTACCCAAGGCTCTTTACCATTGTCACAAAAACACGTTTTAAAAAAAAATCTTGTCCTTTTACTTTGTTATTGTTATCTATGGCGTTTATTTGCATAAACCACATTCCAAATTATTAATGTAAATAGATGATTGAATTAATTTTTTATACATCTTTTTATAATCTGCTTAGAGCTATTGATGGGGAGGGGTCATAGTGTCATCATTTCCTCCCTAAAATCTGTTTTATATTGCTCTGAAACAACTACTAACTTCCAAAAACTGTATTTATTTAAGTTTCTTCCAAGTTGCTTTACTCAAAGTAGTGAAACGCATCATTATGTAACTCAGCAACCTCTTTTAGTGTTAGCTGTTAGCTATGTTATTTAGCCATGCTAGCTGCTAAAACCTAAGGTTATGTAGCGCTCTTCCTGATGTGTTTTAACACTGTTTTTTCAATAACATCATCGATATATAACTTGTCATTTGCCCCTCCTGGGCCTCAGACCTGGGGTCAGCTCTAGCCTTTGACCCCCCTAACAGAAAGCCTGACCGTACATTTCCCTGTACTTGTACTGTAGATGTACACTCCGTGGTCACACATTATTCTAGGGTAACCTTGGTTGCCTGCACAATTAGCCAGACTCGTTAACATCAAAGGGAAAAAGACGAAGCTTTTGATTTTTCCTGTTAACACACAAGGGGATCAATTAGAGGTAAAAGAAGAAAGTTGTTGGAAAACATTGGTGCATTGCAAGATTATTCAACTAGGGCTCAGTCCGATTTTTTAAATTTTTATCTCAACAATTTAAACACCTTACATTAATTCAGAAAATTGGATAGCAACATTTTAATTACTTTGATGGATGGCAAACATTTAATGTTATGTAACCTTACTGAAGGTTTTAATGCAAAATCGTGGCTACTGGTAAATTGGCAAACGAGACCCAGTTTTACAGTGTTGGTTTTGAGGGGAAAGAGCAATTAGTCCCACATTACATGTGTACTCTCAGCTGAACATAAGTAGCTGAAAATAGCAAACGTGACTGGATTTGTTGATTAACCAAGGGGATGCTTCAATCAGAACCAAATCTGCCTTACTCCTGACCCAAGCCGGCCACATCAAAGTCTCCTCTGAAGCTACTTTTAGCTACATAGTTCCCTAAAAGTAATCTAGGTAGGATAATCCCAAGGTGTTAAACAAATACTGTAGAACAGCTGTGTACCATGCAGAAAAAAATTACTTGAGTTCACCCTTGTTAGCTATGCATCACCTGGGTGGATATTCCACGGTGCACTGCCCCCACTTTAACTGTGAAGCACTGACTGTGTTTGAGTCTGTGTGCATGTGAGGGGAAATTCAGCAGCATGCTGACATGACAATCATTCTGTTATCAGTAGTGGTCCTGAAACTCTACCACAGCAAAGTCACCTTGTGAGAAAACTGCCTGTTTATGATTGGATTATGGTGGATAAGAGAAATGTTCTGAGTTTAGATCTAAATTCATCCATTTTGAGTTTATCATTTAATTATTCTCATGCCATTCTCCAGAGCAGATGATGATTCTTTAGGGTAAAAAATATCTCCATCTGTGATGAGTGTTTTGAATGTCCTATTTTTGTTGTGTACGTTTAAAGTTATCATCATTTTTTACCTATGCGTGACCTTAAAGGTGCTAAAAG